AGCAGCTCTTCAACTGCGGGGACGGCCTCACCTACAAGTGCGGGCCTGTGGGGCTCCCCTGAGCGAGGGGAGGGCGGCACGCGGGGCGGGGAGGCCAGATGGGGGCTTCAGTCGGGCTTTCGCAGGCGTGGGGAGCGGATGCCGGGCCTTACCCACGGATCCCCGGGGGTCTCTGGACAGGGCGGGGAGCGGGGGCGGTTCTTGACTGCTTGGATTTTCAGCGTGAGATTGTCAGGACGCCAGCGCTGACAGTTGGGTGGCAGAATATGTCCCCTGGCCCCATCTCCACCTTGTGTTCTGCCTTGCCTCTGACGTGCTCCGCTTAGTGTCACGCTGCTCAGATGCCCTGTGGGATGGTGTGCGGGGACGGTGTCTCATGCTGCCATAAGCCTGAGAGCCCTGCTCCCGGTTCGCTCCCCTCCCATGCAGCGACTTTCTCATTCTCCCCGGGTACATCGACTTCACTGCAGACCAGGTGGTGAGTAGGAGCAGGGACTGGGCCCTGTGCTCACCTGATCGCTGGGCTGTCGTCAGATTGGGCGTGGGTGTGGATCGTCTGGAATGGTCCTCACAGCTGGCATGTAGCTGATACAGAGGGCCCATATTGGGGGGGGCTTTGTAGCACCCTGACAGTAGAGGTGCTGTACCACACTAGTGAACCTTGTCTCCCCAGGACCTGACTTCTGCCCTGACCAAGAAGATCACTCTAAAGACCCCACTTGTTTCCTCCCCCATGGACACTGTCACAGAGGCTGGGATGGCCATAGCAATGGCGGTGAGCCCCTTGGGGTGAGGGTTGGTGATCAGGGACACCGACTCCCCCTTGTCCTGAGGCAGGCCATCATGCTTGTATGGCCAGTTACTCCCTCCTCTCTCTCCATCCTGTAGCTTACGGGCGGTATTGGCTTCATCCACCACAACTGTACACCCGAGTTCCAGGCTAATGAAGTTCGGAAAGTGAAGGTCAGAAGGGCAAGGATCGTGGCCACGAACTCCGGGGAATTGCACCGAGGTGGAGTGGGGTGGGAATGGGAGGTGGGGGTCATCATGCTCATTTGGGATCCTTTTTCCCACTGTGATGTTCATGACTGAAGAAACTGGCGGCCGAGGACCAGGTGACAGTGCCTGCAGGTCACACAAGTCACTTGTTAGAGGTGTCATGTGCTTTGGCCTGTGGCGCTGCCAAGCGGCAGATGAGGCACAGGCCCCGTGCGTGGTTCAGACCGAGAGCCTGAGGGAAAGAGTTTGGAGATGCGATGACCCTTCTCGCCATCCTTTCCAGAAATATGAACAGGGATTCATCACAGACCCTGTGGTCCTCAGCCCCAGGGATCGAGTGCGGGACGTTTTTGAAGCCAAGGCACGGCACGGCTTCTGTGGAATCCCCATCACCGACACAGGCCGGATGGGGAGCCGCTTGGTGGGCATCATCTCCTCGAGGGACATTGACTTTCTCAAGGAAGAGGAGCACGAGCGTTTCCTAGAAGAGGTGGGTGCCGCCGGCAGAGCGCAGCGACGCTGGGGCCTGCATCTGCAGATGGGCTTCTGTTGAGGAAAGACGAAGGCCCAGCCCGGTGTCCAGCTGCACCCGGGGCCAACGTGAGCTCCGAGGCTCTCACTGTCGCTCGAGTAACCTCTGCCTTCCCCCCCTGGTTCCCTTGTGCGTGCTGCCATGTGGTAGCTCTCCAAACTGTTGTGATTTGGGTCCAGCTGTATGGTCTCTGGAACCTCACGCCTGACCTGGGGCAGAGTTGGGGGGGGGGGGTCCTGACCTCTGATGGGCCCTTCCTCACAGCGCCCCTCCCTCCTAGATCATGACAAAGAGGGAAGACTTAGTGGTTGCCCCTGCAGGCATCACACTGAAGGAAGCCAATGAGATTCTGCAGCGCAGCAAGAAGGGTGAGTCCTGGAGGTGGGCAGGGGCCCGGGACCCGTGCTCAGGGTCCTGATTCATGTCTTGCCCCCACCAACAGGAAAGCTGCCCATTGTAAACGAAGACGATGAGCTGGTGGCCATCATTGCCCGGACTGACCTCAAGAAGAACCGGGACTACCCACTGGCCTCCAAAGACGCCAAGAAGCAGCTGCTGTGTGGGGCAGCCATCGGCACTCATGAGGACGACAAGTACAGGCTGGACTTGCTGGCCCAGGCTGGTGCAGACGTGGTGGTTTTGGTGAGCTGCTGCACAGGTGGGGGGCGGGGAGGGGGGGCAGCAGGGGCGGCTACCGTGTCACAGTCTGACTGGGCCTTCGTTCATGTTCCAGGACTCTTCCCAGGGAAACTCCATCTTCCAGATCAATATGATTAAGTACATCAAGGAGAAATACCCTCATCTCCAAGTTATCGGAGGCAACGGTAAAGCAAGACCACGCCAGCGGGAAAGGGGGTGGGGGTGGGGGTGGGAACTCTGCGCAGGCCCTCACAGGCACCTTTCCTGTCCCTCCCTGTAGTGGTCACCGCTGCGCAGGCCAAGAACCTCATTGATGCAGGTGTGGATGCCCTGAGGGTGGGCATGGGAAGTGGCTCCATCTGCATCACCCAGGAAGGTAAGGGCCCACGTGCCCTGGGGCCAGGCATCTTGAGGGACAAGATCGGGTCAAACAGGCCACTTGGACGGGTGGAAGCAAGACAAGTTCTTGTTATCTTCTCCTGCCACTCCCCTGCCTAGCCTGGCCTCCCTGCTCCTGCTCTGCGCCCTCTCTAAACTCTGGTCTGTTTGTTTTATTTAGCGGCTCCCAAGATCCCTCCTGACATAAAGTCCCACAGCCCCAAATGCCCTTCTACTGTCACGGGCTGTTATAGTAAGTCCGGCCCGGCCCACTGGCCCGGCCCAGCTGCCCACTGCCCGGCTGCTTGGTTGACTGTAGCTGTAGCTCCCAGGGTTTGTGGTGCTAATGGGTGGGCAGGGCAAACTGATGTACAGACCATGGTTTGGGGGCTGCATCTTCCCGGGGCACTCCCACTTGCCCAGGCAGGCCCTGCGCTGCCCACTTCTGCAGCAGGCATGGCCCAAGGACCACCTCTGGAGCCGGAGCCTGGTGAAGTCCCTTCCACATGACCACTGCCCTGATCTTGCTTGAGCTGCCCACCACGCAGGGAGGAAGTGCTGGGCCTGACTCAGTCCCTTTGGGAACTAACTGCACGGTGCCTCCTCCCTCTCTGATACCAGCTGGGCGGGGCTTTCCCGGCTGCTAAGACTGCATGTGCCTGAGGCTGCCCTGGGCCCTGCACACATGCACGCGCACATGCGAGGGTGAGTGGAGACCAGCGCAGCTGTTGGTACTGTTCGAGGCAGATGGGGCAGTGGCCATTCCAGACACGTCTCCATGGCAGCCTGCAGTTCTGGTGCAGGTGTAGCCAACAGCTCCTGGGTGCAGAATGTGGCCACAGGGTCTTTGACGTGGACCCCACTAACCCTACCCGCTGCTTGTCCCTCCGTCTTTCCACAGTGCTGGCCTGTGGGCGGCCCCAAGCAACAGCTGTGTATAAAGTATCGGAATACGCACGGCGCTTTGGCGTTCCCGTCATCGCAGATGGAGGGATCCAGAATGTGGGGCATATCGCCAAAGCTCTGGCCCTTGGTGCTTCCACAGGTAAGGAAGGCCCGGTGTCCCTGGAGCCCTGACACCCCTTCCCCATGCTGCTCAGGCACTGCCCACGCACTGTCTGTCCACAGTAATGATGGGCTCCCTCCTGGCTGCCACCACCGAAGCCCCTGGCGAGTACTTCTTCTCCGATGGGATCCGGCTCAAGAAGTATCGGGGCATGGGTTCTCTCGATGCCATGGACAAGCATCTCAGCAGCCAGAACCGCTACTTCAGGTCGGACGTGCGGATCCGGCAGCGCCCCCGCACGCTGCGCAATCTCATCCCTGCTCTGACCTTGCCCTTGCTTCTGCCTCTCTCCCCCTGCAGTGAAGCTGACAAAATCAAAGTAGCACAAGGGGTCTCTGGGGCTGTGCAAGACAAAGGGTCCATCCACAAATTCGTCCCCTACCTGATTGCTGGCATCCAGCACTCCTGCCAAGACATTGGTGCCAAGAGCTTGACCCAAGTGCGGTAAGCTTGGGGCCTGGGGCGCAGGTGAAGGCCTAGGACAGGGCCGGCTGCCCGTCTGCCCGACTCTGACATCTGCCTTCTTCAGAGCCATGATGTACTCGGGCGAGCTCAAGTTTGAGAAGCGGACGTCCTCGGCTCAGGTGGAAGGCGGCGTCCACGGCCTCCACTCGTAAGTGGCCGTGTCGGTGGGGCTCTGCGGGCCTCCTTCCTCCCCTCCCCTCCCCTCACAATGCTCTCTGCCTGCAGGTATGAGAAGCGGCTTTTCTGAAAAGGGATCCAATCCAGCACACCCCCCTTGGTTTTTCAATAAAAGTTAAAAATAAAAAATGTGCCTGATGTTTGAGAGCAGCAAGTAGGCACTTAGCCTGGTGCCCGAGGTGCAGCGGGGCTCTGCAGCTGCCCCCACCACAGACAGACAGGTACATGGGACACCCTCCCGTCCAGGGACCCCCATGTATCAGGCCTTAATAAATTTCCTCAAAGATCTTAAAGGGCGTTCCCTGGCAGCTCTGGAGCCGGAAGGATCTTGAACACAAAGCCACTGGGGTCCCTCCCCTCAGATCTGCAGAGGCCTTGCAGCAGGTCAAGTTGCTGCCTGTCACGCAGGCGTCCCATGATGCACGCTGTTCTTCTGTCATGTTGATGTGCCTGGGAGCGCTGTCCCTCCACCAGTGCTGGGGACCTGGATGGAGATCTGGGCACCTGGCTTCAGTGGGGCCCAGCCCTGGCCCTTCCAGTCATTTGAGGAGTGAACCAGCGGATGGACTACGCCTCTCCCTGATTCTGCCTTTCAAATAAGCTCTTTTTTAAAAGGTCTAGAACAAAACAAGGCCTTCTAGCCTCCGGTTTCCTCACACACACGCCAACTGAAACCCACGTAGCCATCGATCCCTGGCCAGCAACACACCTGATACAAAATGGGGGTATAAATTACTCATACGCTAGCAAGCAAATCAAGGGCTTTAGTGCCGAAGGGGGAGGACCAGGGCCCTCGGGGAGGGGAGGTGCTTCGGTTCCCGGCGGTTCACTCTGCAGCTTGGCCCAGAGGCAGCACAGAAGTCTCTCCAGGCGGGGGGATGAGAGCGGCTCCCGTCACCCGGCCTTCGTGACACAGGAAGTTGAAAGTAGCGCAGGCATTGGGCTGTAGAGAAAAGGCCGGCATCAGCCTGGCCAGGGCAAGGCCCGAGCCCCGCCGCAGCGCGCCCCGGGGCCGGCACTCACCGTGTCCTGCACCTCCACGGCGATGCCCCGCCGCCTCATGGCTCGCAGTACCTCGGGCTGCAGCCGCTCGGTCCGGTTTCCGGTCCCCACCACCACAATCTCTAGGGAAGGCAGGGCGTGGCTCGTCCACAACCGGGTCTGCTGTGAAGCTGGGGTGCGGGTGGCTTTCCGGGGGCTCGGAGCGCTCAGACCTCCGCACCCCCCCTCCCCCCGTACCTATCCGGGGCTCCAGCATCCAGAAGAGGGAGAAGCTCTCTTCAGTGATGTCCTGGTGGGATCCCACCTGTGCGGGGAGGAGGCGGGTTCAGGACAGACGAAGCCGCAGCCTCCCTCTCTCCCCAGCTCCACTCCGGGGCCACAGGGACGAGCCCAGTTAGCCAGGGACACCGGCGGGCGTGCGGGGCAAGGCTCACGTTCCACTGCACCACCGAGTGCGGGAGCAGCGCGCACGGTCCGAGCACGCGGTTGCCGTTGACCGTGAAGCCGCGGCTGCTGTAGCTGTCGATGTACATGACGTGCGGGGACTCGCGCTGCAGCAGAGAGATGCGCGTCCGCTGATACAACTCGTCATCCGCCGGCGAGAGCCGGTGCCCACGCCGCGGTGCCCTGCGGAGGCGGAGGGTCAGGGGGCCGCTGGCCCTGGCGGGCAGCGTGCTCGGGGGCGTGGGGCCTGGGCTCACCATGGCAGCGGACAGCGCGGCGTGGGTTTCACTCGGGACAGGCAGCGCAGCGCGACAGCGGCGGCCATGGCTGCCCCGCACGCCGCGAGCGGGTCGGACGCAGGACCGCTGGGGTCGCGGCGAGGCCTGGTCCGCCGAGACTACAGCGCCTCCTGCGGTCCGGAGGGCGCGTCGCGGCTCTGCCAGCCCCCCTCGCCGGCGTCACGTGTCCCCGGCGCGGCTCTCGTGTCCGCACCTGTCGCCCCGGCCGCCGGTCCCAGGGGAGTGCGGGCACCTGGTAGTGCGGGCTCTCAGACATGACGCAGGGCTCCGGGGACCCGGAGCGGGGCGGGGCCGCACCTGGCCGGGTCCTGCACACCTGGCCAGGGCGTGGCGCCAACCTCCAAGCCCCTAATCTCAGGTTCTGGGGCGCCCGGCTCCGTGGGCGGGGCGGACGGCTCAGGTTTCCCCGGCCAGACTCGCAGCCACGCCCCTCCCCAACCGTCACCCGCGCGACCGTTAGCGGCGGCGCCGCACGCTGCGGGGGGCGTGGCCGCGCGGGGATTGGCTTCGCGAGAGCGCGAGGGGGCGTGGCCAGGCAGTTTCGCCATAAAATGGCTCCAAGTCTGCGGGGCAGCCGGAGCCAGCGGAAGGGCACGGCGTTTTAGTGTTGCTGAGCCTGCTCGGTGGGGAGCGGCCGGGCCGAGCCGGACCAGACTTGAACTAGACAGCGCCCGGAGCATCGTCGTGTCCTCGCTCACTCCGCTCGCTTCCCGAGGTTGCCCCGCACCCCGTCTCGATCCGCATCAAGGGCCTACAGGAGCGAGTGGCTGGCGCCCGCGCCGGGTTTGGGCATCTCCGCGCGCCGGCTCCGTCTTAGCCTCGGGGGAACCTTGTCGCGTTCGCTAGCCGTGGGGCCGGCCGGCCGGGCGGGCGGGAGAGGGTCGGCACAGTAGGGGCCTGGGCGGCGAGAGTCCCAGGAGCGGTCGCAGTGGCCTGCCGGGGGTCCCGCCATCGCTGTGTGGGCCCGGTCGGCTCCTGGCGCTCCTGGGCGCTGGCAGCGTCACCGGACAAAGGGCCCCGAGCGCGGGGGTGTCCCCAAGGCGGACGCGCGGGCTCACTTCCTCCCTGGCCCCGCGCTTCCCTCTTGGCAGATTCTGAAACCCGCCCTCCCGGCGTCACCGCACCAGTGGCCCCGGGCTGCGTGGGACCAACAGGGCTAATCCTGCCCTCGGATCTAATCCGGATCGGGACCCGATCCCAGGGGAGGCCCGGTCCTTCCCTGCTATTGTTCTGGGGCCCAGGTGAGCGCCTCGTTCCCACTGGACTCGGTTTCACTGTCTCCCAGGTCCGCCTCCTGGGACGTAGGATGGGCGGGTTCTGGATTGGCCCTAGGGCGAGTGACCTGGGGGCAGGAGCCCCACTCCAACGGCTGGACAGCGGGCAACGGAATCCCAAAAGCAGCTGTTGTCTCCAGAGCATTCCAGCTGCGCTTGGATTTCGTTCCCTGCTTTCCTGCCTGAGCAGCGCCCAGGCCCAGGTTGGGTAGCCCCCGACACCCCCCAGACACACCGCGCTGGGGGGCCCTGGTCTCCGTCCGTCTCTCGGGTGCGGGCTAGAAGCGGGAGAGCTGGGGCTGGGGCCTCCGGTTAGGCCTTGCAAGGAAGAGGGATGAGTGAGTGGCCCTGGTGAGTCCCCCAGGGCCGCCTCAGCCCGCAGCTCACTAAAGATAGCCCTCCACTTCCTGGGGAGAAACCACCCCAACCGTCTTTGTGGACGGAGAGTAACTGAAGTCCCCGGTTCGATCCTGGGCCCCCAGCCTCGCCGGTCGCTGCCTGTGAGTCGTGAGCTCTCGGCATGGAAAGCGCTTTGGAATGACACGATCACTCCCGTTGAGTGGGCACCCAGGAAGCCATCGGGAATGTCGTGTCCGCCCAGTGCTCTTTCGGCGCCTCTCAGCAGGGCCTGACCGCCCGGCCCTTGAGGAAGGAGCCTTGCCCGGCCTTTCCTGCCCAGGGGCCCCAGCTCTGCGAGGGAGAGGGATTCAATCCTCAGAGCGCAGAGGGTGTGGGCGGTGGGGTCGCCAGCACTCTATTGGACCTGCACTCTATTGAAGTGAGCACATGTGGGAACCCTGGCTGGAGGAGGTGTGGCCGGGGCCTTTTATGGTCACATTGGCCCCTCATGGCTCGGTGCCCAAAATAGGAAGCCCCAGGTTCTGTGAACAACACCGGGCTGAAGGGGAAACGCGGAGAGCTGGTGGTTCCGGAAACCATCACGATGGTTCCGATTCCTCAGGTAGCCATCTTCCCGGACCGGGCGGTTACTGGTAATGAAGACCACCAGTGTCACGTGAAGAAGCCTTCTAACTAGCTTGAAACCGCGAATCACAAACTTCTTTTTAAAAAGAATTTTTGTTAAATAGGTGCCTTATTCTAATGGCAACTCATCTGGTACTTTCTGACGTCTTAATCACGTGTAAAATGGGGGGAATGAAGCGTTATTATAACAACACGAATAACTTGGGGATTCGATGGGGAAGCCCGGAGCCCCACTCGCTGGCGAGGATTCCTTCCGTGGCTGCTAACGCGCGGAGACCCCGGGATGTCGCAGCGCAGCCAGGCAGGGCGGAGGGCGCGCTGGGCGGCTTCTCGAGGAGCGCACCTGTCCGTGGGGCGTCGCCAGGCCCCGCCCAGTCAGGCACGCCCTCCCCGGAAGTTCCACCTCCCTGCACCCGCCTTCCGGTTCCGCTCACGACTTCCGGTCACCATGGCGACGGAGCGCCTTGGTGTCGGGGAGACGCTGGGGGCTCTAAACGCGGCGCTGGGGCCCGGCGGCCCGGTGTGGTTCAAGGAGACGCACGCCCGGCACCTGCGTGCCCGCGACTTCCTGGTGCCGCGGCGCGCTCTGCAGGCGCGTTTCGAGGACGGGCAGGTGAGCACGAGCGCGGCGGGAGTGCGCATGCCCAGGGTTCCGGGGCGCCCTGCGGCCGTCTCACCCGCTCGTCCCCCCGCAGGTTCCCGAGCACGTGTTCCGGGCTGTCTCCGGCCTGCAGGGCCCTGGTATAGCCCCGGTGCGGGCCTGCGCGCTGACCCCCGCGGGCCTGGCGCTGCAGCTGCAGCGGCCCGTCGTCTTCGAGCGGGTTCTCGGCGCTGTGGCCGCCTACGCCTCGCCCGCCTCGACGGGCCCGCGCGTCGTCCTCCATTGCCCGGCTCTGCGCGGCGCCCCAGGCGCGCTCCGCCTCAGCCAGCTGCGTGCGGTGCTCGTGGCGGATCACCTGGCGCGAGCACTGCGTGCCCAAGGGTGAGCGCCTGCGGAGTGCTGGCCCGGGGCCAGACGGAGAAGGCGGGACGTCGGATGGCCTGGCGAGCAGCGCCGCCGCGGGGGTGGGGGTCGCGGCGAGCCGGCCCAGGCTCGCGGGCTGAGGCGGCGGCCTTCGCTTTGCAGGGTGTGTGCGCGCCGGGTGCCTGGCGTGCGGGACCCGCACATGCTGACTTTCCTGCAGCAGCTGCGGGTGGACTGGCCTGCAGCCTCGCCGACTCCCCCCTCGACCGGAACCCTGCGGAGCCGCGCCTTGGCAGAGCTTAGCCCTGCTCGGGACGCGGGGACGCTGCCCCCCGGCGTCCTGGGCAGGCTGTCCCTGAAGGAGCTGGTGGAGGAACAGGGCCGCGCCGCTGGCTATGACCCCAACCTGGACAGCTGTCTGCGTAGGATGTGGGGCCAGGGCAGGGCGTGATGCAGGGGGCCTCTGGACTGGCGCCAGCCTGCAGCCGTCTGCTCTCTCTGCAGTGACGGAGGACCTGCTGTCGGCGCTGGCTGAGCTGCAGGAGGCCGTGCGGCACTGGCCTGAGGACAGCCCCCCAAGCCCCGTGGGCCTCGGGCAAAGCGGGGCGTGCGGCACTGATGGGCCTCTCCCTTCCAAGGCCGCAGCCCCAGGTGCTGGCGCCGACGGCTGCGTGGTTGTGCACGTGCTGAGCTGCGAGGATGAGTTCCAGCAACAGAAACTGGACCTGCTTTGGTGGAAGCTGGATGACCAGGCTCCTCTCAGACAGGTAGGGGAGGGAAGGTGTGCGGGCTCGCCCTGCGGTGCCCACCCTGCCGGCTTGCGGGGCGACAGCGCTCTTTGACAGGAAACCCTGGAGACAGGTTTGGGTGAACATGGCCGTTTATTAACAATGTGGCAGGCAGAGGGGCGTAGCTAGTTCAGGGCAACACCAGTTCTATGGGATAAAGCCGATATCGGCACCGCCGTGCTTCTCCAGTCAGCTTGAAGGTCTCCAGGTGGTCCTCATGGGTTTGGGCCACACCCGGGAGCTGTTTGCATGATTGCCAATTACAAGGTCCTTCAACAAGAACTGGGGGGGCGGGGGGGGGTGTGTGCCTGAGGTCATAGGGTCCTTCCACGGAGGCATGGTGTGCCATGCCCTGTACTTTATTTGAGAGGTAGAGTTAGCGCGCCACACCCACACACCCACACACACCCACCCCCCGCCTTCTTAACCTCCAGCATGGGCTAGGCCGGCAGTCTCCCAGCCAGGCACAGGATCTCCCACAGAGCTGAAAGGGCCCTTGAAAACCCAGCTGCTTAGCTGAGAAGTCCTGACACCTGAGAGGCTGTAGACTTGCGTCGGGCAGCGTAGCAGGGCAGAGGCCTCGGAGCAGGTGGGGTCTGAAAGCGCACCCCCAAAACATCGGCTGATAGGTTGCGACAGCAGTGAGCTCAGACGGAGTCCCGAGGGGCTGCACTTGAGAGGGAGGCGCAGGTGGGAGGGGGACCTGGTGCAGCACAGACACATGTGGGCTGGGGGCTGTGGGCACCGGCTGAGCCCCTCCTGGCTTCCCGACAGAAGCACCTGGTCTGCGGCCCTGTGAGAGCAGTGGGTGCTGCGATGACTGCCCCCGAGTACTACGAGTGAGTGAGGCTGAGGGCAGCAGGTGGGTCTGAGCGGGGGGCACGGCCCTGGGGTGGAGGGCCTCTGCTGCCCCCCAGCCCTCCCCTCTCTCTAAAACAGGTCCCGCCATGCCCAGGTGTGCAAGGCCTCAGCACTGAAGCGTGGTGGGGACCCGGCCCAAGGTGCGCTGGGGGCGCCTGGCTGCGCCCTGGGGTAGAGGCAGGTCATTTGCCCCTCTGCAGACTGACCCACCTGTACTCCCTCAGACCCAGCCTGGACAGAGATCGCTGGGGTTCTCTCTGTGGCCACCATCAAGTTTGAGATGCTGAGCACAGCTCCACGGAGTCAGGTGAGCCTGGGCACCACCCCTCCGGACCAGGACAGGAAGGGAGGGGATGGGGTAGGGGACTGGCCTCCACTGCGGCTGTGTCCCCACCCAGCTCCTCCTGGCTCCGGCAGACAGCAGTATCTCCACAAAAGGCACAAAAAGTGGGATCTTCGTCATGTACAACTGTGCCCGTCTCGCCACGCTCTTTGAGAGCTATAAGCGCAGTGAAGAACAGGGTCTCTACCCTCCTTTCCCCTCCGTGGCCAGTCTGGACTTCTCGCTGCTACAGGATGAGGTGAGCATCCCCTTCAGGGGGCAGGCACAAGCAGGAGGCGTGGCCTCTCGCTGCCACCCCCTCTCTCCCCCCAGGGCGAGTGGCTGCTGCTCTTCAACAGTGTCTTGCCCTTCCCGGAGCTGCTGAGCCAGCTGGCAGCCCTGGCCCCCACCACCCCGGGGCTCCACCTCCCTGCCCGCACAGAGACGGTGAGGCGGAGAGCAGGGCCCGGAGCGCACTCTTTATTCTGGGCGGGGACACAGGAGCCACGGGGCAGGCGGTGACTTCAGTCTTGCCTCATGTCCAGGTGTGCAAGTTCCTGGTGCAGCTCAGCATGGACTTCAGCTCCTACTACAACAGGGTGCACGTCCTGGGGGTGAGTACACGGCCGGGCAGGGGTGCAGAGGCAAGGCGTGGGGGCGGAGGGCGAGACCAGCCGGCCCCTTCTCCCGCAGGAGCCCCGGCCCCATCTCTTCGGTCAGATGTTTGCCCGGCTGCAGCTTCTGAGGGCCATCCGCGAGGTGCTCCACGCGGGCCTGGCTCTGCTGGGCCTCCCTCCGCTGAGCCACATCTGAGGCCCCAGGGCCTCCGATCCGGGAATGTTCACAGACTCATGGACTGGAAAGCAAACAAAACCCCACACCTGTTGTTAACAGCCTGGAGCCACAATAAAGAGTTTGTTATCAAACTTTGTCCTGTTGTAGGTGGTTTGCGGGGACAGCCCTCTACTCACCTCTCGCTCCTGCTCTGAGGTCAGGAGCCCGCGGCCGCCACCGCCTCCCCTCGAGGCACACCAGGCATGGGCACAGACAGTCCACTCCCTGGTGCAGTGTCTGCGAGCAGGCCCCATGCCCAGCTCGCTGGCCACCGCGGGACCCCTTAGTCATACCAGTTGTAAACCTCAAGCCCCTGGCCCCCAAGGGCACAGCGGTGGCCAAACTCAGGGCTCACGGGCCAGCAGTCCATGTCCGCCACATCCGGCACGTGGTAGACGCTGCTGTTCATGAAGGTAGGCGCGCCGTGCCCCAGCCGCCAGAAGGTGAGCCGCTGGTCGATGGAGGCCGAGACCATGAGGCTTGGGCTTAGAATCTTGAGGCCTGTCACGTGAGCAGCGTGCGCACAGGGGACCGAGTACTCCTCTAGCACGTGCAGCTGGGGCGCTCCCTCGGCACCCCCAACAGCCTCTTCCGCCTCTGGCATCTCCACAGCAAGCAGGAGCACGTGCAGCGAGCCATCCTCACTGCCGCTGGCCACAAGGTGGCAGCCCTCACGTGTGGGCAGGGTGTCCAGGCTGTTGACACCACAGCTGTGGGCCTGGACAGTGAGGCAGGGGGTGCCCAGCCCTGGGGAGAGAGAACAGTGGTCAGGGCACCGGCCGCCATGTGTGAGGCAGGGGTTGGGGGAGCAGCTGCAGGCTACTCACGGTAGGGAAGCCCAGGCTCCAGGGGAGGCTCCAGGGCAGGGGAGCCGGGGTCCAGCACGGTGGTGAGATCCCAGAAGGCCAGGCTGCCGTCCGTGGCTGCACTGCACACAAGCAGCCTCCTGGAAGCCAGCAAAGAGCAGCCAGGTCAATGCGAGGAAAGAGCAACAGGGATCCCAGATACAAACATATACACACACCCCCAGACTCACCGCCGCTGGCTGGGGGCCTCGTGCGTAAAGGAGTGCACCTTGAGGACACACCGCTTGTGATGGAAGGTTTCAGCCAGGAGCTGCAGAAGCCGCCCAGAGTCCTGCAAGACAAAGAGCCTGGGGGCGTGGGGGGCAGGACTCAGAACCAAGCCTGGAAAACCTCCCCACCCCCCGGGGTCTCTGTGGGCTCACCTCACCGCCCCGTCACTACAGGCTGCAGCCACAAGGGGGCCAAGGCCAGGCCGATCAAGTTCACACACAGCAAGGGACATATACCTGTGGAGACAATGTGGCTGTCAGGTGTTGCCTGTAAGCCCAGGGGCACCTGCGTGGGCCTTGCCCGACAACGCAGATTACCTGGTCTCCGGGTCCACTTTGACCATGCGATGCCGATTGCGCTGCCGGTCCCAGTACTCATCTAGCCGGTGGGAGGAAAGGTGCATGACATGGCAGGCGAGGCCACTTGGGGTGCTCGGGTCTGGAGCGACCATGATGCTGAAGCAGTGCATCTCGGCTCGCCCCCCAGCGGAGACCACGCGGGCAGTCAGGCCTGGCCGAGGATCCTGAGCGCCCCCAGGGGTGCCGACATCCCACACGGCCACAGCGCGCACGGAGGAGATGTGGTTACAAACGGCCGTGAGGGCGTGGGCCGAGCCTGTGGCTGTGGGGAGTGCCAGGACGCAGACGGTGGTGTCCTCGCTGCACGTGACCACGATGTCGATCAGGCCAGGGCCCTCACTGCCAGGCTCCAGGAAGTCCGGCTGCATGAAGCTGGGCACCTCGAATTCAGGCCCCAGGGTGATGGCGCCCACACGCTTCACGCAAGTGATCTCACGGCCGTGCAGACCCTCTCGGAGAATCACGTGTGGCCGCGTGCAGCCGCCAAGAGCCCGGTACAGCATCACATCCCCGTCCTTGAGGTAGGCGAAGGCCATAGCCGCCTCGGTGTCCGAGAAGGCCCAGGAGCGGTGCCCTCCGCCACAGTTGACGATGTGCAGCTTCTCGTGTGACCGGGGGCTCCACACCACAAACTCGTTGGCGTGGAAACCCAGGATGACCATGCTCCCATCGGGTACCATGCGGAGCCCAGCCACCCAGTTCATGCCTCGACAGGACTTCTGCCTTAGGACTGGCTGGAGCTGGCCACCTCGCACAAGGAGCTGGTAGTAGGCGCCATCGCGCCCTGTGGTATACACGTAGCCACCATGGCAGGTGACTGAGGTCACACCCTGCTTTCCATGCAAAGAATGCAGGGTGGACACAGGGCCCCACCCAGCCACGTCACTCTTGCCCCCGTCACTGCCATCACCTGTTCCAGGTGCCCCAGCCTTGCCCCCAGCTCCAAGTTCCTTGAGCGGACCTGGTCTGGAAGGGAACAGCAGCACAGAGCCCCGGCGGTCCCCACAAACCAGGAAGTCACCAGGGGGGAGGAAGGCACTGCACGTGTGCCATCTCTGCTTGCTCGGGGGCAGCAGGTACCGACAACGTTCCTGGACAAAAATGGCCTTGCCGGAGGGCGCGGCCGAGATCTCCAGGCAGGCCACCACCCCGCCAGGGCCCGAGGCCAGCAGCAGTAGCTCCTCGTAGCCTCGCAGGGCCCAGCTCAAGCTGTGCACCTTCCCAGGAAACAGGACCCGGTCCACAGCCGCGGCAGGGGTGTTGATGGGGACGACTTTGATGCGACCCTCTCCACTCGCCATGGCGCACAGCCCAAAGCCCTCGGGGCCGGGAGCTGCTTCCAGCAGGCAGTAGGACTGGAAGTGCTTATCTTCCAGCAGCTGTTCCCAGCACTTGACCTCAAAGTCATAGAGGTACAGAGTCCCTGTATCAGTCACTGCCAAAAGTCGCCAAGAGCCAGCCAGTGTCACAGCCTTGAGGGTGCCGGACCTGCTACGGGACTTGAAGCCAAGAGCTGATACCCCCAGGCCTGAGTTCCCACGCCCTACCAGGTGCCAGAGTCGAATGCCTGAGTCATCACCCCCCGTGATCACCCAGGCCTGCCTCTCGTGGGCAGCTATGGCCCGGATGCCACGGCCCTGGTGGCCCCGAAAGGCCTGGAGGATCTCCCCTTCGTGGCTCCACACCAAGCAGACACAGTCCTCTCCTGCACTGATAAGGTAATTCTCTAGGAGCTTGACCTGCCACACGCGGGCGCTGTGCCCAAAGCAGTGCCCAATGTTCTGCACCCGGCCCCCGGGCACCCGCAGGTCGCCCACCTTCCAGAGACGGACACTTCGGTCTTCTGAAGCGGTGGCCAGCAAGCCCTTGCTCTGCAGGTAGGACATGCTGAAGATGACACCCACGTGCCCACTGACCCGTCGGTCAGGTGCCACAGGCTTGTTAGTTGTTAAAGCAGCTGCTGGGTACCAGACCAGGAGCTGGTTGGAAACAGCACCCGCCACGATGGTCAGCTCCTTCCAGGTGTCTCCAATCAGGCAGGCCGAGGAGAGGGTGCACCTGTCAGTGCAGGGCACCTCCTGCAACAGGCACCCGATCACAGGGTCATACAGCACCACGGAGTTGTGGCCCAGGGCCAAGGCCACGTTGCCCTCAAGCCAGCGTACGTCCCAGATCCAGTCAGACATGTTCCACAGGCCAGAGCGCCACAGCTCCCGGAAGCGGCTCTCTCCCCAGCCGATTTTCACAACCCGGAGTCCCTTGCTCCCAAACACAGCCACCATGGCCTCTGAGTCAGTGTCTCCGCTGGGCTCCGGCCGCACCCGAAACCCGTGGATAAGATAGTGGCCAAGCAGGCTCTGCACTCGCTTCATCATCCGCAGATGCCCAGCAAAGTCCAAGCTGTACACCAGCACGTCAGGCCCCTCACCTGGACGGAGGCAGAAAGCCACATGAGAACCAGTCACCTCGCCCTCAAGACCCACGGGCCCTTCACAGCACGGGGCCCTCAGCCATATCAAGCTACACGGACCTCGGGCAGTCCTCAGTGGCTGCTTCAGCCGGACTTTCAGCGCTGACGCCTCCCAGTGAGCCCTGACGTTCAGTTCCACAGGAACTCCTCAAATCACGGCCTCCTCATTCCACCTCATTCGCAGGCTCCAGAAGCCGCCCTGCCCACCTTAGTCCCTCATCCACCTCTCCACTCATCCTTCCAGCTCCTCTCTCCGCCAGTGGAGAGCCTGTCCCCGCTTCCACCCTTAGGGTCACAGCAGCAGACTGCCAGGAGCCCCTCCCTGCGCCTCAGGGGATGGAGCACATGCAGCACGGACACCAAGAGCCAACGCTTTGCTAGCAGAGCTCCGAGCTGAACCGACCTGCCCCCGGCCAACCGTGTAAGCCCTCTTCAAAATCTCAAGACCGAGGGCTAGAGGGCTGTGTACAGCTGCCACTCGGCGAGCCTCAGAGGGAGCAATGAGACACTGGAGAGCCTCGGCAGGATCTGGCACCTGGCAGAAACAAACTCCCTGGGGCGGCGCTATGGCACAGCAGGTTAATGCCCTGGCCTGAAGCGCTGGCATCCCATATGGGCGCTGGTTCGAGACCCGGCTGCTCCTCTTCTGATCCAGCTCTCCGCTGTGGCCCAGGAAAGCAGTAGAAGATGGCCCAAGTGCTTGGGCCCCTTTCCCAAATGGGAGACCTGGAAGAACCTCCTGGCTCCTGGCTTCGGATCGGCGCAGCTCCGGCTGTTGCAGCCATCTGGGGAGTGAACGATTGGATGGCAGACCTCTCTCTCTCTCTCTCTGCCTCTCCTCTGTGTAACTCTGACTTTCGAATAAATACATAAATCAATAAAAAAAAAAAAAAAAGACAGACAAGAAACTCCCCCGCTTGCTCCCGTGCTGTGCATTCTCCACACGCCGAGCTCCCATGTGTGTTAGGTCCCACGGATGTGGTTCACTCCTCAGCTTTTCATTTGTTAAAAAAGACTGATTCATTGAAAAGGCAGAGCAAGAGAGACCTGATATTTCACTCCCCAAATGGCTGCAATAGCCAGGACTGGGCTAGGCATAACCCAGGAGCATGGAACTCCATCCAGGTCCCACGTGGGTGGCAGGGGCCTGAACATTTAAGCCTTCCCTGCCGCATTCCCAAGAAGCTGGATCCAAAGAACGGCTGGGATTGGAACTAGGACTGACACAAGACGCAGCCATCGGGGCCAGC